TTTGCTGCAGCCATATCCTTCATTTCAAACTCCTTTGCTAGCTGGTTCTTCAAACTGTTTATATCTTCTAAACACGATCCACACGTCCTGCTACCAACATGTCATCAACATATAATAACAAGATAATGAAGCTGGACTCGAACCTTTTGAAATAATAGCAATGATCCGAATTGCATCTTCTGTAGCCATTGTTTTGCATGAAGTTATCAAACTTCTTGTACCACTGTCTCGGAGCCTGTTTCAAACCATATAAGCTCTTCTTGAGCTTGCACATCATCTCTTTCTTTCCTTCTTCAATGAAGCCAACAGGTTGCTTCATGTAGATTTTTTTATCCAAGTCATTCTGTAGCCATTATTTTGAATGAAGTTATCAAACTTTTTGTATCACTGTCTCGGAGCCTGTTTCAAACCATATAAGCTCTTCTTGAGCTTGCACATCATCTCTTTCTTTCCTTCTTCAATGAAGCCAACAGGTTGCTTCATGTAGATTTTTTTATCCAAGTCACCATGAAGAAAGACAGTCTTCACATCTAACTGCTTAAGAAAGAGGTCTTCTGTAGCTATCAAACTCAACACCACTGTGATGGTTGTGAGCTTCACAACAGGGAAAAATATCTCCGTGTAGTCCACTCCTTCCCGCTGTTGAAACCCCTTCACTACTAATTTGGTCTTGAATCTCTTGCTTTCATCACTCTCCTGCTTGACCTGGTAGACCCATTTATTATGTAAGGCCTTCTCCTGTGCAGGTAGCTGGGCTAACTCCCATGTCTCATTAGTGAGTAGAGAATCCATCTCCTTCTGCATCACATGCTCCGACTGTTGAGATTCACTCACTTGCATTGCCTCCTCATAGCATTCCTGTTCACCACTATCTATCAACAATAAGTAATCAAGAGATGAAAGATATCTGAGATTTGGTTTGAGTACCCTGGATGACCTCCTATGCTCCACGCCCTGGGTAGTTGCTTCTGTACCTAGAGCCTCCTCCGTTCTATGGTCAGAACAAACATCATCACCCCTATCTGGAAGTTCCTCTAAATCCATGTACGCGGATCCACCTGCATCCGTAGTGCTGCTCCCACTGCTTTGACTATCCTTGGCATTTTCCCTATTCTTGTACATCACATCATCATTGAATATCACGTCCCTGCTTCTGATGATCTTCATGTTCTTCTCATCCCAAAGACGATACCTGAACTCATCAATGTCGTATCCAATGAATGTGCACTTCTGTGACTTAGCTTCTAGTTTGTCCCTGATATGGTCACTAATATGAACATAAGCCACACAACCAAATACCCGTAAGTGTGAGAGATTTATCTTCTTTCCACTCCAAACCTCCTCTGGAATCCCAATATCCAATAAAACTGATGGTCCGTGATTAATAAGGTAAGCTGCCGTATGCACCACATCCGTCCAAAATGTCTTAGGCAGACTTGCATGTAATCACATGCTCCTGGCATGCTCCGTCAAGGTTCTGTTCATCCTCTCTACAATACCGTTCTGTTACGGCGTCCCTGGAGTAGTCCTCTCTAAACGAATACCATTCGTAGCACAAAACCTCTTGAACTCCTCCAGCTCGTTTTTTCCACCATTGTCCGATCTCAGATACTTCACCTTCAGATCTGTCTCATTCTCCATCATGGCCTTCCACTTCTTGAAGACTCCGAACACCTCTGACTTGTGCTTCATGAAGTAAACCTACACCTTCCTCGAGTGATCGTCTATAAAGGTGACATAGTATCTCGAACCGTCAAAAGAAGATACGCTGGCTGGACCCCATACATCTGTATAAATCAACTCTAACTTCTGAGCCTTAGGTGACCTTCCACCCTTCTGAAAACTAACCCTCTTTTGCTTCCTAAAGATGCAATCTTCACAAACCCGACTTCCACGGAGTCGATCCCGGTTAGCTTTCCCTGTGAATGTAAGATCTTCATCCCCTTCTCGCTCATGTGTCCTAGCCTATTGTGCCACATATCTGTACTCTCTTTGCCAGCTACAATTGCAAGGGTGTCACTCGCATATAAGGTGAAGTAGAGAGTTCCTAGTTTGTTTCCTCGAGTAACTATCATCGTACCGTTGGAGATTCTCCACGAATCCCCTGTGAATATCGAAACATAGCCTTCTGCTCCAAGCTGTCTCACCGAAACAAGATTCCTCTTCAGCTTCGGCACGTGTCTCACGTTCTTCAAGGTCTACTTAGAGCTCTTCATCTGAATCTGCACTTCACCCTTTCTAACAATATTACATGGCTCGTTATTCCCCAAATATACTTTTCCAAAGTACTCTGCTACATAATTTTGAAAAAGCTTCCTATTAGCAGTGGCGTGGAAAGAGACTCCTGAGTCGATGACCCAAGAATCCGAGTCGCTATCCATAGCAAGGATAAATGCATCCTCCACGATATGAGCCTCCTGCTCACCCGCATCCTTCTTTGGACTCTTGCAGACTGAAGACATATGGCCTTCCTGGCCACAGTTCCAACACTTTCTTTTAATAGGCCTAACCTTTGAGTTCGACCTCTTCTTCACTGATTTGACCGATTGCTGTTCTGGTTTTCTTTCTTCTGGCTTCTGCCTCTCTACTCGAAACTTAGAGCTGAACCTGAACCTTCTGATTCAGACGATTTTATTCTAACCTCCTCGGATAGAATCATGCTAACAACCTCACTTAGCTTTAACTTCTCTTTCCCCGTCGAATTGCTGATTGTCGTCATACACCCTGTCTAACTATCCGACAACTGCGATAGAATTAATAGGGCTTGTACTTCGTCATCGAACGTGATGTCTATAGAGCTAAGCTGATCAACAATCGTGTTGAACTCGCTGAGGTGTATCGTGAAGGACCGTCCTTCTGCCATCTTGAGGTTGAAAAGAGTCTTGACGAGATGCACCTTGTTTCCTGCCGACGGTTGCTCGTACATCTTCGCGAGCGCTTCCATAAGCCCCACCGTCGTCTTCTCCTTTAAGATATTGTGGGCTCCTGATTTGGCAAGCGACAACCAGATTTACCTTAGAGCCTTCCTATCCAGTATCTCCCAATCATCATCTGACTCCTCTTTCTTTTGTCCATTATCCTTGCCCATCAACGGGCGATACAAGTCCTTCTGGTACAGATAGTCCTCCATCTGCGACTTCCAGTAGGTGAAGTCTGAGCCGTCAAATTTCTCGATCTTAGATTTGATTTCCTCTACCATGGTTTTCACACAAATTGATGAACGAAGCTCTGAAACCAGTTGTTGGGGATTCGAAACAATCAAATCGAACCCTTGCTCTTTCGGACCTTGTGTTGAAAGTAGAAAAGTAGGAAAATTCACCTCAAATAAAGATCAAACAACTTGCAGAAATAATAAAGGAGACGAACACACAGATTTAACGAGGTTCGGCAACGTGCCTACGTCCTCGGGAGCCACATCACACAATTCTTTTGATTAATTGAAGAAGAAATACAAGCTCTCAAACTAGGGTTTTATCTCTCTGAGATTCTCTCTTTTTCTGCTGTCAAAAACTCTCTTTTTTCGTGTGTATGCAAGCCCTAAAAACGTTTAGGTATATATAGAGTCCTGAAAGAACAGAATCCAAAACAGTCTAGGAAACTATTTGACTGCGTCGCGGTCGACCACGCATGTATCATGGTCGACCGCGGCGGTCCACCGAACCACTTTCTCGAGCGCAGAAAACATTACAGTGTTGGCGCGGTCGACCGTCACGGTCGACCAAATTGATTCCCGAGACCAAAAATCCCTACAGGGTTGGCGCGGTCGACAGCCGTAGTCGACCGCCTTCAGCTCCAGCCTCTTGTCAGCTTCTGTGCACGTTCGCGGTCGACCGCCACGGTCGAGGCGACGAGGTTAGGATCATATCAGGAGGAGAGATGGCATATTCTTTTTGTACATATTACGGTTAATATGAAAAATCACAGTGAAATTTTTGAGATAGAGTTTTTCCAGCGATGGATTTGGGATGAAGATTTTTGTTTTGGTTGGTTGTTTTGAAAAGGCGAAAGGGTAAAGTGCCCTAGTACATTTGATAATTATAAGGGCCTGTTCGTTTGCCTAAAAAAAAGAGGGAAATCAAAGAAATGGAAAACTATTAAAATGAAGAATTGTTTTTGGAGTGTTTGGTTGGCTAAAAAAAGAAGGAAATCAAAGAAATGAAATTGAAATGATGTTAGTTGTCACCTTATTATTGGATGATGTTTGTGATTTTTTAAGAAAACTAGTTTTGGAGTGTTCGGTTGGCGAAAAAAATAAGGAAATGAATTATAAGAAACCTATTTCCTGTAGTTTCTTGTTTTCTTTTGTTCGGTTCATTCTTAAAAATAAGAAATGAAATGAGATGAGATGAGTTGTCATTGTATTATTGGGTGATGTGAAGAAAGATTAAGAAAAGTGTTTTCATAACTTTTTGGGATGAAAATGAAGAAATGAAATGTTAATGAGATGAGGTGAATTGTTATAATATTTTATTGGATGATGTGAGTGATTTGAAATGATGAGAAGAGATGAGTTGAATGATGTTTGGATGAAAATAATATTTTATTAGATGTGATGAATGAGTTGTTAGATAAAAATAATATTTTATTAGATGTGATGGATGAGTGATTAGATGAAAATCATATTTTATTAGATGATGTGGATGAGTTGTTGGATGAAAATAATATTTTATTAGATGTTATTGGTGAGTTTTAGGGATGGAAATTGAGGAAATGGTGAGTTTTGAGATTTTCACCATTTCCATTTCCATTAGAAAACAAACGAACAGGCTACCAATTGGTGTCGCGGGGTATTTTCTTTCCAAGCATTGATAACTTGACATAGCTATGCGAGTACTGAAACTTAGGGACAGTTTTACAATTATAGACTAAGAAAGGGGCAAACATGCAAAAAACCATTAAAAGAATAATCCACGTCAGCAATAAGGTCCGACAAATATCCAAACAAGGTCACCTAATTTCCACTATAAAGTACGGCGACCTTTTACGTTTCTCACCGTTAGCAGACAATAAACAAACCCAATTTTTTTAGAAAAACCCCTTTCCTAAAAAAACAATTAAAAAAAACCCCTTTCTAAAAAAGCAAGCAAAATTATTTTGAGAAAGAACCAATTTCCTCGCTTTTCTCTCCCCCCTCCGCTCTTTGCTTTCGCCCTCACATGAATTGTCGTTTCTCCCCCTGGATCCCCTCCGCTCTTTGATTTCTAGGGTTTCTGCCCTCCGCCGTTCGATTCCTTGATCTCCGGTGAGCATTTCGATCTTCGGATCTGCGAAATTGGTCCAGGGTTGAGCTATCTCGCTCGAGATTTGAGGTCAATGATTTGGATTCTCGAGGGTTTTATGTGAAAGCTACGTAATTTGGCGGTGATTTCGATCTTTTGGGCGCTCGATTCGAGAGATTTGTGATAAAATCGCAGTAAGTGAATTTTTTCCGATAGTTTTTTTGGAAAATGGGAAAAATAACGAATGTTTGTGTTGTTGGATTCAGGTTTAGTTTATTCTAGGGTTTTGGTTTAGAGTCGAGGATTTTGGACGGAATGTTGAGCTGATGGCATTTATATCAGCTTTTTTTTTTGAAGGAGGTTATTTGAGAGGGAATCCATTAAATTGGAGGAAAGTTTGTTCCTGTGATCACTGTTCATGATTTACATGCAAATGTGAGGCTTTTTTTAGTGAGAAATGTAGAATCTAAACCTCTGTGTTGCGATTGGGACGAAACCATGCATTCGTGCTGTTCTCAGGATTCAGGAATTGAGTTTAGTTTGAAAATTCAATGTGGTTCCATCATTAAATTTTTGGAGGGAAATTTGGGAGTTTGGTGGTATTTTAGGAGGAAGAGTTTTCTCTTATAAATTAGTTCGGGTTTTATAGGAGGACAAACTTTGGAAATTCATTGCATGTTGGGTGGTTTTTTTTACCTCTTTTGAGGTGGGGAATTTGGTGATAATTTTAGGATGAAGCTTTCTTGGGTATCATAGCCATTTGCAAGTTATGTAACTTCAAGTTCTGTAACGGAGTTACTTCAAGTTTTGAAGGAGGACAAACTTTGGAATTCAAGGTTTTGATAGCTATGCATGTAGAATTTTAAGTATGTAATTTTAGAAATTAGAGCAGTGTTTCCGAAAACTTTCATAAATTCTTCCTTTCTTTTCTCACCCCTTCTCCTCCAAGTTGCGAAACATCCCTGTTATAGTGCTGTTTTGGGGTTTGAATCTGTCGTTGCTAAACACTGCTTTTTCTGCTTGTAAATTAATTTCAGGTCCACCAGATTTGGAAATGTTGGATATCTGAGATCTTAATGTTCTCCGAGTCTCCGCCATTCTATCACACAAGGCGGAGTTGCTCTGGGGAATGAAGATGATAGATCAATTTATCAACTTTGTAATACGCCCTCCTAGGTTCGTGCCTTAATCTCTATCCTAAATGATCTGACGTGCTCTTCTAGATATTTATCACCTTTGTTTTTTAACTCTCCATTTTCCTGAAGGGTCTGGTATCCATATCTGGTCATTTTCTGTTGTTAGTTCTAAACTGATCATATCTATGTTTTTAATTTTAGTATTTCTATATTACTGGTTACGAGTTATCACTATGAAATGTTTATAGTATAACCATATTATTAGCCTTGGTCAGCTGTCCAGTTCTTGTTGTCATTGCAATTTTCTGAAACGGTTTACTACTTAATGCATCAAATCTTACTAACAGTTCATATAGAAGTTTTAAATCTGAGTCCTATTATGGAAAATGTCTGGAAAAGAATAAAATGGTGTATGCTGTCCATGTTTCCCATACTCTTCTTTCATAGAAAGCTAAGCAGTAAGATTGTGACGCCCCTGGTTTCACACAAGGCTGTAGTCCAAAGTGAACCCAAGGATGTTAAACCTGCCATGCACTCACATAGTGCAATAACACGTTTCACTATCACAGTAATATCTCTCTAGTGGAATCAATAATAAACAAGTGCATGTACAAAGCAGATAGAATGACGCCCCTGGTTTCACACAAGGCTGTAGTCCAAAGTGAACCCAAGGATGTTAAACCTGCCATGCACTCACATAGTGCAATAACACGTTTCACTATCACAGTAATATCTCTCTAGCGGAATCAATAATAAACAAGTGCATGTACAAAGCAGATAGAATAAGATAGTAATGCAGTGAACATGACAAAGGAATGAGAGAATCCAATAACAATATAATCATGTTCCAACCGAATAAAATAAAATACAACTGACAAACGGAAACCAATGTGAAGTATCTCAATACATAGAGTCAAATGAAATAATATTAAGTCACTCCGCCTTTACAAAATGAAATATATCTCTAAATGTCTGAAAATAAATAATAAAACACTATGGAGTTCTAAATAACTACCAATAATATATGATAGCTGCTAAGCTGAAAGTCCGTCAACCTGCGACTCTCCGGACGTCTGGCTCACTGTCAAAAAAGAGGGGAAACAACGAGCGTTAAAACGCTAGCGAGATCATCTCCACCGTCCTCAGGGGGAGGGGGTTAGGAGTATATATAAAATACATGTTAGTACATATAGATATAAAATTATCTACGCTGAACTAAGCGGAAATTAATATTTAAACATCCACAACACGTAAATGGGTATGTCGAGCAAAATAATCCAAACAAGAAAACCTTCATGTATATACCTTGTATCTCAAATTGTGAATTGCTAAATACCAACTTCAAATCCTATGAGAAAAATAACAAATAAAAGAAAATACAAATCCAAACCTCAACCAATACAAGTCATGTCAAATCCTCACACTACCCTCGGATAGTGGCACAATCACAAGAATAACATCCCGATCAAATAGAAACTCACATAAATATGCCATGTATAGCAACCTCAGTCTTATACCCTACTCTCGGGGTATATATCACGGGAGCATGAAAGCAATATGTGTAATACTCTATCAGAAACAACGATGTTTTTGTAAGGTGCTCACAATATCTTATGACGTCACCACCTCACTCAATTGTCCTGCAGAATGTAGGCATATCAGCCCAATTCGGAATGATGCATCATAGAGTGTAGTCTGTCACGGTCTCATTGTAGCATATCGACTAACCCCACTCTGAGTGTAGTCTCCCATGGTCTCATTGTAGGGTACCAACTAACCCACTCAAGCATCCACAATATGATGAAATATAAAATGCATCGTTCTCTATCATGACAAGTCAAAAAATAGAATTTACGTACCTCCAAACGCGCGTGCGTGCTCAAATTCCAAATACGTGTGCTCCAATGGTCAAGCACTTATCTCGATGTGTGACTCGCAATTCGTGTGTGCGAACAAAACACGTGAAAAACAGAAATAAAATGCACAAAACAATCCAGAACAGTCGACCGATCATGTACCATCGGTTGACTGATGTCATGCACAAACCGTATACAAATGGCTCTCATCGGTCGACTGGTGACCTATGCCCGGTCAACCGATCAGAGAAA